GGAAGCTGGCCTCCACAACGTCGCCTTCTCTACCTTCTGGTCCCTCGGCGACGTTGACGGCTGCATCGACCTCCTGGTGCGTACCAACCGTCTGGCCGAATCCGTTCTCTTCGCACAGACCTACAAGCCTTCCCGTGCCCCTGCTCTCGTCGCACAATGGAAAGAGTCTCTTGAGGGCTCCGGCAAGACCAAGATCGCCCGTCTCATCGGTATCCCCCCAGGCTGCCCTGACCTGGCCGCGGACGATGACCTCTTCCCGGAGTGGGACGAGTACCTCCGTCTAGAGAAGGAGGGAGTTGTTCCTGAGCCCCCGTCCTCAGAGTCTCTGATCGACGTGCACGCCGACGAGGACGGCAATGCCGTGTCGGCAGGTAACGGTGAGCCCGAGGTGGAAGCTCAAGCCGAAGCCGAAGCCGAGGCCGAAGAGGAAGAGGCCGAAGAAGAAGAAACTGAGGCATGATTGACGATGGTTGTATAAGGTGGGGGAAGGATTAGGAGAGAGCGTGTGTGTGAGGCTTTTCCTTTAATTTCCGCAGGAGTGGGAAGAAGAGAAGTGAGAAGAGGAAAAATTATTTCCATGTACCGTTGACAACCCTCCTACTTACTCTTATCTAGCTTGCTTGCTCATTTTTTACATAACTTTATTCATCCTTCTAGAACCATGTTTTGTCTTTATTTTCTTACATCTGCTTGGTTTATCGTCATGATTCAATCTTATGTTCATCCTTTTTTCTCTTTTATATTTGAACATTGTATGTTTCTTCGGTTCAGTTCTCCATTCTACTACCTGTACCTATCACCCCTTGTTCTAACGATTTGAAGTGATGATCATAATATTGTGTCCCCTTTTTCTGCACATGGTGAGATTCGGACCGTACGATGTATAAGCTACCACACTATATTTGTTTGTGTGACGAGATTCATTTGTAGATAGTAATCCCATTGTCTATGAGCCAGCCATGTCAAATCAACAAACACCCTTACCCTCAACTGGTTTAGCCCATCCCAGCGCGCAAAGAGAGCAGAACCCAGACAAAATTTTCGACAATAACATGAGAAGGAACAGCTAAATGGTCTAAATTGAGGACCGCTCAAATGTGTACTTTCATATGTAGATCGATCCCAAATGGATTTGGCTTCCCCAGGAGCGATCCGTGTTCCGCTGGAGCAACAAAGGATCAGACCAGCAGATCTGAAACAGAACGAGGTCGGTTCATCAGACATACAGAGGCCCTGTGCAGAGGGCTAAAATGTGGGAGCTTTTCGCTTTACCTGTGCCGTCCGCCTGTTGTTCGAAAATGGAAGCAAATCACTGACGCAAGCCCGAGACAAATTTGTGAAATGATGCGGCAGTCAAAAGAGGTGTGATAATGACAGTAAATGAGAAATGCACGAAAGGGACCCGCCTCAATTGTATCTTGAATGCAAACCAGGATAGAAAAACACAAGCGCTCAGCCGAGATCACCGCCACAGAGAATGGATTCCAACAGAAAGTTACCATATACCACTTGTGCTAAGGGGGAAAACAGGGAGAACCAGCAGTGAAGCAAGTGCTCGAGCTATGCAGAGAATATGCACGAGTAAAGGTGAAAAAGCAAGGAATTGTCTCAAACAATTTCCCTTTATGTCTTGAAGGGACGTATGGTGTTCAAGTGAGTCGATTGATGATATATCAGCTTTTTACTCGGTGATGCTACCAAAAGAGGGATCCTTGACACTGCCACCGGCGTCGCCGAGACCGGCAACCGGGCGGTTGTAAGACCAGCCTTCGAATTGTTGCTGCATAGTCTGTGACAGCATGGGGCCGTCCACATACGAATCTTGCGGTGCTTCGGAGGTGAACTCCCGGTCGAAGTTGGTGATATCGCGAGCGCCCATCTGCAAAGGTTAGTCATCATCACCGTAATACGCTAGCCACATCAAAGAGTTACATACCACGTTCGGACGGAAGCTGGGCTCGTACTTCCGCTGGAGAAGCTTGCGCCAATCGATGTTAGCGAAGAAGTGGTGCGACTTAATCTCCGCTGCGCCGTTAGCTCCCAACCGACGTTGAGGATCGCGATCAAGCAGTCGGCTCAGCAGATCCCGAGCGGCCGGAGGAACAATGTCCGTGCTGGGGAAAGTCAGGGGCTCCTGAAGGATCTTGCGATACATATCGTTGGTGTTTTCGTCGTAGAAGGGGGGAAGACCCGTCAACATCTCGTAAAGGAGGACACCCAGCGTCCACCAGTCAACGGTCTTTGTGTATCCGTTTCCAAGCAAAAGCTCGGGTGCGAGGTATTCAGGGGTACCACAGAACGCTGTGTAGAAAGTTAGACGAATTCAGGTTGGAAGCAGGGGTAATCTTACTGTTTGTGCGATCCTCATCCTTCATGTCCAACTTGCACAGACCAAAGTCGCACAGAGCAATGTGGCCAGTGTAATCCAGAAGAATGTTTTCAGGCTTGAGATCACGGTAGATGACCTTGAAACCGTGCAGGCACTCCAGCGCACAGAGCAGCTCGGCAGTGTAAAAACGGGCCCGGTTGATATCGAAGCGCTGCTCACGCTGAAGGTGATGGAACAGCTCACCGCCGTTGACGAAAGCAAGGACGAGGTACAGCTTCTCCGGAGACTGGAAGGAGAACTTGAGAGGGACGATGAAGGGGTTGTTGATTTGAGAGAGCACGGATCTTTCGGCGAGGGTGTGGGTGACTTCCGACCGTGAGATGATGTGCGCCTTGCGGATAGTCTTGAGGGCGTAAATCCGACCCGTATCCTTCTTCATGACCTGCATGACCTTGCCGAAACTACCCTTACCCACAACCTTCAGCAACTCGAAGTCTTCCAGCTTCATGCTGCGCTGCTTGTTCTCGACGAAGGAGACACCAATCTTGATGGAACCGGTGCCGAACTGCATATCCAGCCATTCGGCGCCCAGCTGGCCCAGCTGGCGCTCCTGCGGCGTCTTCTTGGACTTGGGGTCTTCCGCATGGGGCTGAGCCTCTTCGAAACGAGGATGTACCTTGACGGCGCCGAGGAAGATATCCTCGCTGCGACCAGCGCCAGGACGAGCCGTGGGGTTGCGCAAATACAACTGAACGTTCAATTCCGTCTTGCGCGACACATCAAACTTATAAGCCGTGTTGTCTCCAGCCCACAGGGGGTTTTCGGGGGAACCAGAAACGGCGTCGACGAAGACTTGGTTCTTTTCGAAATCCAGAAGGGCATAGGGGAGGTACTTGGTCGAATAGCGACCGTGGGAAGTCGGAGCGGCATTGATACCTCCGCTGGTGGATTGCGGGCGACCGCTAGGAACGTAGGAGGCGGCCTGTCCGTGTGCAGAGTGGGATGAGGAAGAGCTTGGACGCATGCCATAGGAACCGCTGCTCTGGAAATGGGAGTTGAAGATCTGTTGGTAGTGGGGGGAAAGAGAGAAGCCTCGACCTTCGTGGAGGGTGACGATCAGGATTCCGGGCTTGACAGGGGCCACGGGCGGGGAGACGAGCGACTCCGAGGCATCTTTAAGAAAGTGTTAGACGGTCGGCAGAGAATTGAAGAGAATAGTAACAACATACTGATTCCATTGGAGTTTGTTGTGGAGATACTGGGAGTTTGCGAAACAACGGGGGTCTCTTCGCCAGAATCACCTTTGATGGTGGATGTGGAGGAGGATCGGGTGAATGTTTGGGTCAAAGGAGCCAAGTGCGTCTCCTTTAATTCTGTATGAGGGAATTAATTCATTAGCATCCGATATGGCGGGACAAAGGAAACACAACCGGGCATAAACATTGCACATACTTCTAGTGAGTTTCCACGACATTGTCATAGGGATGTTCTAGCAAGCGAATCCAGGGTGTGTATATGTTTGAAGAAAGGGAGAAGAGGGAGAGGAAGGGAACAGGAAAAGAGAGGATCAATTTGAACAGTCTTCCGACGGTTTTAAGGAAGAGGAAAAGGAGAGAGGAATAGGAGGCCAACAACTGGGTCGGAGGCCTGGCAGAGAAGAAGGGCAGAACGAGCCAGACCAGTCAAGTGCAGTGATAATATGCAGAACCGCCACAGCCACAGCGGTCAGTCAGCGACACAGGAAAAAGAGGGAGGAGAAGAGAGGGAGGGAGAGAGGAATGAGGAGGGCGAGGGTAAGTAAGTAGTAGTAGTAGTTTCAGGAACCACCGATCGGGGCGGGAACAGGGGAACACCCGCAAACTGTACAAGACGCTTGAAGAACAAACGAAATGATGATGGAAGTAGAACCAGGGTCGGGGACACGATGGAACGACGAGAAGGAGGATCGACCCGGGAAGTGACTTTTTTAGGGAGAGACAGTTGATAAGGCGAATTGGGGGGGAAAGAATTGGGAAATGGGGGGAGGAGGAGTAGGAGGGGGGGGGGAAAGGGAAGAGGGGGTGAATGAATGAAGGTGGGAAAGGGACTGAGCGAGGCTGAACTCTGAATAGAATAAGTCGCCGCCACTCCGTCCTTCATTGGTCCAGGAACCCCGTTGCCTGAATGTGTGCCTGGGGCATGAATCTTTGTCACCCTGAGGCGGTGCATTCCCAGATCGTAGTCTAGTCCCGATAAAGTAACCACCATGTGCACTAGCCTCAGAGCTTAGCCACCGCCCACCCCCCAGAACCTCGAATCGTCTGTCCGCCGATACGCGACCAGTCTCCTGTTCACTACAAACTGCTACTATCACATTCCTCCAGCCATCCCCAGAAACCTTGTTGGTATTACGGTTCTTGTCTGTGCTGGATCGACTTTTTTGAGACCAACCTGACGTTGAGCCCTCAAGGTTACTCCACCCTAGTTTCCCCGGCATTTCCCCCCCGCTCATCGACTGCGGAGACGTACATCCCTTTGCGCTACCGTCGTTCTCCGGACCATCACCTTCATACCCGACGCGCATCACTCTTTTCTCATTAGTTCCAAATTGCCCTCTCATTTCACTGGAGGGCGTGTCGGTGTGGTCGAAACGGATCCGGGAACATTGGAGGATGAAAGGGACCCGCGACCGATGGGTGTAATACGGAAGAAGACCGCCTCGCGCGGCACTGAAGCGGGCACCAAGTATCACTGTGATATTTGCTCGGTTGATGTGACTTCAACGGTACAGTCTGCGATTCGTGTTTTAAAAATCTTCGCCTCTTGTCGGCCTTAAACCTAATCTATCGGTCTCTTACTAGGTTCGCGTATCTTGCGCCCATCCCGCCTGCCACGAATACGATCTCTGCGTCCCCTGCTTCGCTGCCGGAGAGAAATCCAAGAACCATGACCCGTCAACGCATCCATTCCAGGTGATCGAACAGAACTCGGTCCCGATTTTCGAGGAGGACTGGGGTGCGGACGAGGAACTCCTGCTGCTGGAAGGCGCCGAGATCTACGGACTGGGATCATGGGCGGACATTGCAGACCACATTGGTGGTTACCGCACCAAGGAGGAGGTTCGCGACCACTACATCAGCGCCTATATCGATAGCCCGAACTTCCCGTTACCGGAACGCGCCGATCCGGACGACAAGCGCCTTTCGGAGGCCATTTCGAAGGAAGAATTCCAGGCGCGGAAGAAACGCCGCATTGAAGAGCGCAAAGAGGCGGCCAAGGCAGCTCCACCCACAACACCGAAGCAGAAGCCTACTGCCAGTGTACCGGCTTGTCACGAAGTGCAGGGCTACATGCCGGGTCGATTGGAGTTTGAGACAGAGTTCATGAACGAAGCCGAGGAAGCGGTGCAGCACATGACATTTGAGCCTGGCGCGGGCGAGACGGCGAACGGCGAGACAGACGCGGAGATGGAATTGAAGATGACCGTGGTGGATATCTATAACTCGCGGCTTACGGCGCGCACGGAGCGCAAGAAGATCCTCTTCGAGCACAACCTCCTCGAATACCGCAAGAACACGGCACTGGAGAAGAAGCGCACGAAAGAGGAGCGTGACTTGCTGAACAAGGCGAAGCCATTTGCCCGGATGATGAACCACGATGATTTTGAAGAGTTCAACAAGGGTCTCGAGTACGAGCACAACCTGCGGCTAGCCATCACGCAGCTCCAGGAGTGGCGCCAGATGGGCATTGGTGATCTGAAAGGCGGAGAGAAATACGAACAGGAGAAGCAACAGCGGGCACAGCGGATGGTGCCGCAGGGCTCGTTTGATCGGTTCGCCAGCACGCGACCGACGAAGCAGTCGCAGCAACCAGAACAGCCGTCCGCTGCCAGTCAGCTGACAACCCCGGAGCTTCCTCTCCGGCTACAAAAGGCGTCCGGGGCGCCTAAGGCACCAGAGCCTGTTAACCCGCCGATGAATGATTTTGATCGGGCGTTTGCCGCCACCAATGGCGACGGGATCAGCACGCCGCAGCCAGTGAAGACCAAGTTTGTGATCCAGCCACTGAATGGAGTGATTCCGTGGAAGCTGGAGAACGAGGGAGCACCGGATCTGCACCTGCTGACCAAGGAGGAGGTCGAGGTGTGCAATGTGTTGCACATGCAGCCCAAGCCGTACCTAGTAATTAAGGAGACGTTATTGAAAGAGGCGATGAAGCAGGGCGGCAGTTTAAAGAAGAAGGACGCGCGAGCTATTTGCAAGGTAACACTCTTTCCCCTCTGCCAACAAAAGGAGATGTATAGCGTTCTGACGAAGATCTCTACAGGTCGACAGTACCAAGACGAGTCGTATCTACGATTTCATGGTACACAGCGGCTGGATCAACAAGAGCTGAGCGTCTGATTTGCATGAGCAGGATACCACGTGGTTCTGTGTAAGGAGTTGCGGCGTTGTGAGGTAGATGATACGATTTATGGTTTTGATTAAGTGATTAAGTAGATGGACATATAGTTTATCTATACAAGGGACAAATTAATCCTTCAATTAACTATAAAGTAAACAGACTTTATTCTATTCTTTACGACTTCCACGTAGCTACTACAGTCGACCATAAAACAAGAGACAATAATTGGAACCGATACCCACCAACTAACCACAGAACCAGTCTAGCGGCAAGTCCGTCTTCTCCGCATTCCAATCTAACCACTAACCAGCTTACCTTAGTATAACATCCGACCGAACCTCGGCATCATTTAAAGACCCGTAATCAATCAATCAAACACCTTTATAACAACACCACTCTCCCTTCTCCATCCAATTCCACCTAGCTTAAACCCATCCCCCTCATCATACCCAAATCCATACACTATCCAAAAGAAGGAAATCAAAAAAGAAAATGGCACCAACCCTCCCCACCCCCCCTTCAAACACAATAACCCTCTCCCTCCCCCACCCACACGTCCTCCTAGTCACTCTCTCCCGACCCAAAGCACTAAACAGCATTTCCACCGCGGGCCACCACGACCTCCACGCCATCTGGACCTGGATGGACAACGAGCCCTCAATAAGAGTAGGCATATTGACCGGCTCCGGACGGGCGTTTTGCGCGGGCGCAGACCTCAAAGGTAATACCCATATCCATACCCATACCCCATATCCCCCTCAACCCTCCACTACATCTCCCCCTCAACATAATACTCACCTATACATATGCAGAATGGAACTCCACCGTCCAAACCCCATCCTCCTCGTCCACCCCCACCACCCCAGGCATGCCCCCCAGCGGCTTCGGGGGCCTCTCCCGGCGAAGCGGCAAAAAGCCCATCATCTGCGCAGTGAACGGGCTCTGCCTAGGGGGCGGATGCGAGATGGTGCTCAACGCCGACATGGTAATCGCTTCTTCTAAAGCGTATTTCGGGTTGCCGGAGGTGCAGCGCGGGGTGGTAGCGTGGGCGGGGGCGTTGCCGCGACTGGGGAGGATTGTGGGACGGCAGAGGGCGATGGAGATGGCGTTGACGGGGAGGAAGATTTCTGCGGAGGAGGCGGAGAGGTGGGGGATTGTGAATGAGGTTGTTGGTGATGATGGTGGGAAGGGGGTGGTGGAGAGGGCGGTGGAGGTTGCGGTGCAGATTGCGGGAAATAGTCCTGATGCGGTGTTGGTTAGTCGGGAGGGAGTCAAGTTGGGGTGGGAGGGGATTGGGGTTGAGGAGGCGACGGAGATGTTGATGGAGGGGTGGTCGGAGAAGTTGAATCAGGGGGAGAATATCAGGGAGGGACTGAGGGCGTTTGTGGAGAAGAGGAAGCCCGTCTGGAGGGATAGTAAGTTGTAAGTAATGGATTAAGATTTAAATCGGCTACATTTTATAAAAAACCTGGCATAGATTCATGTTCAGTCATGTAGTATTCGTGCTAGTTGCCTGCAACTATGTACATCATTATCATGTTATGACTATGCTAATCCCGTTTCCATACCCATGCTCCATATCCGCGCCGACCAGTGTTCGCCGTATCCCAGATGGCCTGTCACCGTCCTGCGGTGTGGCCAGTTGTACATGCAGGTGATCGACTCGGAATGCTTTCGCAGTTTTCGTAATCGTAATCGTGAACATTAAAGAAGACAGTGTGCAACAACAGCAATGCCTTTACTTCGTCCCCTGCTGCACCTTGCGCACCCGCTCCAGCACGGCAGGATACAGAGGGTGTTTCTCTTCCAGGCCGGTGAGGTTGCTGGTGGCATCTTCTGCCGACTGTTCTTGGAGGATGCTGGCGAGCTCTGCACTCTCGTCGTCACCAGACACGTTCTGGAAGCGCAGAGCCATCTCGACAGCGTCCATCAAAGAGTCATACTTCATGCCGCGCTCGGCCAGCTGCGAAGCCGGTCCAATGAACCGCTCCTTGCGAGAGAGCTTGCGCAGGGGTGCACGCCCCACGCGTTCGACATTGTCCTCCAGATAAGGGTTGGAGATGCGGCTGACGATCTTATCGACGTACTCCTTCTGCTCCTCCTCTGAGATGTCGTGCTTAGCCACGATGAGTGAGGCAGTCTCCTCAAGAACCTTGTGAACAAGTCCACGGATCTCCTTGTCCTCCAAAGCGTCGGCAATCATCTTCTTGCCCCGGAAGTGACCGAAGTAGGCAGTAGTAGCATGGCCGGTGTTGACGGTGAACAATTTGCGCTCAATGTATGGCTCCAGGTTGTCGACCCAGTGGATGGCAGGAATGTCTGGGTGGCCGACAGAGCCAAAGGGAGTCTTCTCGACAGCCCATTCGTAGAACTTCTCAATGCGGACATCGAGGCCACTGTTGGGGGCTTGCTGAGGGACGATGCGGTCAATGGCAGAGTTGGCAAACTGGGCGCGGTCGTACAGGGACTCGACGCGGTCCTGACTGGTGTGCTGCTTGATGAAGCCGTGCAGGGTGTCGGTAGCACCAATGGCATTCTCACAGGCAATAACAGCGACAGGCTTAGACTCTGTACGAGCATCGATACCCTTGGCAATGACAGGGGCGATGAACTTGAGAATGTTGGGTCCCACAGCACAGGTCACGACATCAGCCGTAGCAATCTCTTGGATGACATCGCTCTCATGGGTCTTGGAGTTGATGGCACGGTAGTTGGTGATAGTGGTGGTGTGCTCACCCTCCTCACTGACCTCAGTCACATTGTACGACTTGTTCTGCTGGAGAGCCTCGACCATCTTGTCCATGACATCGACGAAGACTACTTCGTAGTCCGCCTTGTGGAGGAACTCGGCGACGAAGCCACGGCCGATGTTACCACCGCCGAACTGAATAGCCTTCTTTCCCATGATGTAGTGAAAGTATGACTTAGTCGAAGGGAGGTTGAGGTTGAGGTTGAGATAGAGTAATTGGAAGACTGATCAAGTGAGAAAGTTGATCAGTAGTATGAAAGATGATTTGATATCGCGAAGAGAAGAGTGGTGGTGAAGACAAAGGAAGGTTGAGAATTGAAGAGGAGAGGATGGAGAGAAGAAGAGGGGGGAATGGAGGGGTATATAAAGTATAATGAGCGAAATAAGAGAGAATGAGGCAGTCACGATGGAAACAACGGGAAAGTGCAACGGTGAATGAAACCGAGACTTTTTTCACGATGTTCGGGCCAATTCCAGTAAGTGGGGGAAAAAGGACACACGCAGTGACTATGATCCAAGTAAAAGTGAACTAGACTAACTGACTATGACTTAATGGATCACGATGAGGCCCAATCCAAGCCCTTCCAAACAGGACCAGAGCCGGCCGTTCCAATGAGCGGCGATGACGCAGGCCCAAAGCGGATTGGCCATGCGGGCATTTTCAAGCCCTGCACGCCTCCTCCCCTTACTTTGCTTCTATCCCAATCAGACACGGCCACTGTCATGGTCCCGGTTGATTCCGCACCCACAGACAATCCGGTCCTAGTCGCATGTGCGACTGTGCCATCGTGAAGTTGACGACGCGATAAACTAAATGGCTCGTTGGCCCGTTAGCCCGCATGGCCATCGACTAACTATAGTCTACGTACGACTAGTGGTGCTACTGTAAGTCATCTCACAGATTCTCATCCCAGCCGGTTCTAACCCGGTTCTCTTTCCAACAAGTCATCTTCCCTGAACATTGTGTACCTATACTCCGATCGCTGGCCTATAATGGGCTGGTGGATGCTGCTTGTTGGTCCTGTTCTCAGGTCTCCTACATCATTCCCCTGACTATCATCATCGTCCAACCGGTCGTTAACATCATCATCATGGAATCAAATCGAGTATCCACCAGGGGTTGACCCACCGCTGGTGTCAGGCCAGCGATAGAATGGATAATTCAAAGAGATTCTACTGTTAGCGCTGGACGATGCCGGGAACGAGCAGCGCCGGAGGGGCCAAGGGAGGCCATGCGCCCTCGTCATTCGACCCGAGCCCAAACCTACTCCACTGGTGACGTGACCGGTTCTTCCCCCCAAGCAACGCTACGCTGCACTGTACCACACTATCGTCGGTTACCCCCAGTGGATGCGATCAACAATGGATGGCCGTAGAATCCCTTTCATGGGGTTTCTGTGGGTCTTTATATCCGGCTCCCTCTTATCCCCAAGACAAACCCAATAGCTTCATGTTCTATAGCCTGGCTGGATGTATTCCTTGCATTTCGATTCGTTTCTATCCGCACTATCTACCCTTTCCATCAAATACAGTCCCTATTCCTCTTCTTTCCATCACTGATTTCCCTCCTTTTCTGTCTCCACCCCGGGAGATGGTTCCGCACTGGATTTGACTGATTCATAGTCTGAGTGCATGAGGGACTTGGCTTGATCATCACAGTCACCTGCAAGGGTGCCTGTCTCTGCTCGGCTCCGATCGACCAGCACCGTCAATAAACTGGTGATGCCTCCCGTCAACATCAACCCGGTGGCGGCCCAAGTCATTCCCAAAAATCGGGGTCCGTACTCGGCACTCACACCCATATCGCGGCCATGGTCATTGACAAGATCGACAAATTGAAACGCGATAACCGTCGCAATAATCGAGGAGATTCCGAGCATGATGAACCCCAACTAGCACGTGGTTAGTGCTGGGATCATCCCAATCATATGTCTGGGGAGGTCTCTTTACCAGTAATGCCGCTAATTCCATGACGGACTGCCGTGGTCCGCGCCGAACCAGCCAATACAATCTGCCCACTATCGCCAAGCCTGCAGCCCCGGCTCCGATGCAGTAGAAAATCCCTATAGTCCGGCTGGTCATGCTGAACGCATGGAAATCGTCTGTAACGGCATCGGGCCATCCCAGGTTCGAAAGTGAAGTGGTGTTACCGGTTTCATTCAACAACACCACGGAGGGATTAAAGGCAAAGGGCAATGCGGCTTTGGAGCAGTTCGAGAAGCGTCTGTTGCCTGCCATGAGATCTCCTTCGCAATACGACATCACATAGATGGAGTAGAAGTCATGTATCCCCGTATTTCGACTCTGTTCTGAGGAAAGAACCTATATTGAGGTATCTCAGCTGACCGACTAGATACTAATGCGCAACCAGAGGGGTCGACCGGGGTATAAACTAACCGTGAATATATCGACACCCGGGAGCACCGTCAATTGTGTGCCTGCGAAGAGACATAATAAAGTGAGGATAAAAGCGATAAACGCTGTTATCGTGGGGAAGTAGTTCACCAAGCGACCCATGGTGAAAGATGATCTGCCTCTCTACTAAAAATGTTTGCGATAAAGCTTAATTGATGAATACTGCAGCATGATAACCATGAGGGGAATTGCTCGCTCGTAGACGACATGAGCGATAACTTAAAGGATCCCAACCGCCGTGTATTCATCATTCCTTGAGATGGCCGGTGTACATCATCTTTGGGAGACAGCAATGATCCCAACTTCCTCTCCTCCTTCAAGCACGTGGCGGTTCCCCAGCTGCATTGGTCGCGGGTACTGCCAGAGATTCCAATTGGCCGACGCGAGCTGTTGGGAATGTGCATGCTCAATTTATCAGGGTTGGCATGTTCATTCTTGAGGGACCGCCCGCTTGAAGAATGCCCGCCTACCGGGAGCATTCGAGCTGAAAGAGTCAAAAAGGTCCAGATCCTGGATTTGTCATTTGATTCCCTGAACAACGCTGTTGAATTGGCAGACTCTGGTTCGTAAGGCGGTTGTTCTTTGGACTCGACACCTTGAAAGAACAAAGTCTCCAGATAGCCTATTTTGAAAAGTCGTCACCCTAGAAAAGTCTTCATCGTATTTCCCACCGAACGCCACTCTTACCTAAGTAGGAATTTGAGACCCTGTAGTGACACCACATCCTCAACAACTTCAAAACCTATGCCTCTAGGGGTGGCCTTAGGAGGAATTTCTTCGAGACTTGTTTCCACACATAGTGACTCTACCGGGCAGTGACACAAGTCACGTTTGATCCATTTTTCTGTAGATACGCACTTCTTTGCTATCTTCAGACCAAACGTAGAATCGAACCTCCCACCAACAACCACCTCATTCCGTATCACAAAGAAATTTCAGTCAACCCAAGAGAAGTCTTGGCTCTTGATGTTCAGCAGACTATAGTTCTAAGAATGACTAATGGTATATGCAGCATTTTTCAAGTATGATGCCCTACGAATAGCTGCAGTTGGACATTTGAATAAAAAAAAGGACATTACTGCTACACCAGTTAGGCTCTCCTATACCAGTCTTTGCTCATGCTACATTCTCTGCTTATTTCAGAAGGTAAAGTCTGCTTTCTATGAGACAAGGCCCTATGTTTAATGCTCACCACCTTCTTAATATAGCAGTATACTGTCTGAGGCAGTATTTAGTATCTCAGCCAGTTAAATAAGCCTTTGCTTGATGTCCGTCTGCAAAGTTTACTTCATTCGCACTACTGAGCTACTACTTTCTGCTGGTACTCCACTAAACTGTGTTTAGGTCGCAGCGCTTGAGTCAAGGAGGTTTAAACTTCCCCAAGAGCATCCGCATTCCTTTCGCGATCAGGTGGCACCAACCCAGATCTTGACTTTCTCAAAGTTAACCTAAATTTGCTATTTAGGGGAAGGTATCAGCCGTTGATTAAACTCAGATAGTAGATAATGGTTAGTCATGAAAACACTCATGCCATGAAAAAAAAGCTCTATTTAATGCATCAGAGATTGACAATAGTATTTCCCAGCTACTTCACTCAAGCAGGGATCTTCACTATTCTTCCATTGGCATTGGGAAGTCACTTGCCACCATTCCCATGGACGAGATTGTTTCCCCCTATTTAAGACTTCCCATTGATCTCAATCTTCTACTTTCGCATCTATCCGCATCTCTCATCTTCTCTGATCAATAGAGTATCCTTTCATCATATGTATGCAAGCCAAAGAAGATATATATAATAGTAATACACTCATATCAAAGCTCACAATGATCCGATAGTATTGATCCAACAAATGCTGGAGGTTGTTCCTCGCAATAGTCACAAGATATAGTTCATTGGTACCAAACACTCTTCCATCCGAAGCAGAGCCCCAAAGCTATATCTTAAGACATATACACATTGAAGTCTACCATCAAAGCTAATGATACTGCATAAATACTTTCACTGAACCACAATGACTGAAGTGTTTTTTCCGTGGCCAAATGGCCGTATCGACCTACGTACCGCATGTATATACATTCTCTCATGGCATGATGATACTCGAGTGCCTACGCGACATACTAGTAATGGAGCAACCCTGAGGACGAATTATACAGTCATCCTTCAGAATGACGACAGACCTGCTGTTGATTCAGCAGGAGATACTACTTACTTCCCTATACAAAGCCAGTATGACATATATGGTAAGGAAATATCTAGTACCATTTACGAATATTCACCATATATTATTTTCTTCCAAAGTGGACTGCTCCTTAGTACTATTTAATACAAACAGCGTTGCAAACCCTACATTACGCTGACTACTCAAGATCGACTACTCAACTCGGCGTCGACGAGTTCCAGTGCTGATAGCTACTTATCAAGGGAATGCTAGACCTAGTAACGACATATTCAGCGTAGTAACAGGGTACTAATATTGAAAGTGATAACAGTTTTCAGGATCATCTACACTGATATAAATTATGGAGGATGTTATGTTATCGTCTCGCATTCACAACTGTACGAGAAGTAAGTTTCTCTAGCGCTAATAATACACCAGTTGATTAAACCCTTGATTAGGTGGCTTCAACCCCCTTGTCATGTCACTGGTAAAACTAGATGACTGATATATTGCTACTCTCAACAAATTCTCGCCGACGAGGTTGGGACATGCTGATTATGGGCAAATCTTCAAGTGTGGTGAGATTTGGGCCTGCAGGAGCAACGATGTCAAGATCGGTTTTACAGGGCATTCAGTCTTACCATGGATCAGGAAGTACCAAGTTGCAGTCAACGGTTCAGAACCTGTAATAGCTGTGTTGATTTCTCATCCCGGCGGGGATACAAGGAAAAGGGCGATTGAGTTGACTAAGGACCCATAGGGAAGGATGAGGAATGTATTGTTCCTAGATCAGGATAAAAGGGTTGATAATGAATTGAGCTATGATCGACTGTGCATCTTAGTCTTCTTATTTCCTTGAATAAGAGTCTCTCTATTGTGCAGCGGTGGCCTCATTTGTACTGCTCATGACTTAGCTAGTTTATGGACCAGTAACACTTGTTGATTCATGATATATTATCTAATTGAGGCCCAGATGAAGCGAAAAGCACATGTGTAGAACCAAAAGGGTATCAGGTACATTGCTGTTGCTGGTATGTAAAGAAAGCGAGCGTATATAGGATCGATCCTTATAAGTATGCTGTAAGGGAATGGATCATTAAGGCTGGAAAGAATAGATATGTCCCATGAGCAGGGTATAAATATCAACATAAGGGTAGTACGCATATCAAGGCCGTTGACCGAGAGGTGAAATGAAAAGCCTTAATCTGAATGACAGTAAGAAAGAAAAGTACCCGAAGACAGATCAAAATGCTACACCAACAGCGGAGTGACGATACTCGTAATATTGGGTAAGCATCTCGTCATAGACTTCGGGCTCCTGGTGCTGTGGCTGTTCGCCCTCGTAGATTGTAGGATAGGTGTGTTCTTCTGTCACGGTTGGAAAGGTCTGTTTGGGTGAGAATGGGCTGCCGAGAGGAAGGTCAAAGTTTCGTGATTCAGTGCTCGATGCTTGCATGGTTGGGGCGACTGTCGTGCCGCTGGCGAGAGACGGGGTGGCCTTGTGCCCTCCGGTGAGGTTGGTAATGGTTGATGCGAGCGTAGAGCCGCTCAGCGTCCGCGACCGGATGCGAAATGGCCCCTTGTCGCTGGTTTTTATCGGGTTGGAGAAAAGGAAGTTTGGCTTGTTGGGCGTTTGAAAGAGCCACTGGGTAACACGTCCCGAGCGGGTTGGGGTTCGATTAGGATTCTCCGTTGGTGTGGTCGGAGGTCGGCTTTCGGAGGGAGTGGTAGGTGGGTGATACGTACTGCCTGAAGAAGGGGAATCCTCCTCAGTTGGAATAGAAGGTAAGGGCCTGTCCTGCAGGCTGGGTTTGGTGGGAGTCCTAGGGACCGTGGACGTAGGGTCCTTGTGGGTGTCCCGGTGTAGCTCGTTCCTAGCCAGGGACGTGCTGCCACCACTTAAATCCAGCCTGGGAGTGGTAGAAGGTACCGCACTTGCGGTCAAGCCAGTGACCGCAGAGCTACGTTGTGAAAAATGAGGGATTAAGGGACTGGTGACAGGAGGATTCTTCTCTAGTAGCTGGAGCTGTTCTTGGGTTGGCAATGAAGACCGACGGGAGCCTGACCCGACTGGCTTTCTCGCAAGCTGAAACGACGAAGAGGGTCGGTGAGTTCGCGGTTGCGATATCCGGCCCATTTCGGTAGACGAGAGAGCTCGCGGGGGTCGTGAAATGACCTGCTTGCGGTCGTGCTCGAGAGGGAAGTCTTCAAATTGGGGAAGATCCGGGAGTCTGTTGCCTGGGGTATTGAAGCTCAACTCCAGGGGACGATATTCATCCAGTTCCGTCAGGAACATTGAGACTCTTCTAAACTCCGAGGGTCCACTGATCCTCACGGGAGCAGTTGACTTCCTCTTGAGCGACATGCTAGCTCGATTGGACGCTCGCGATGCCCGGGTCCTGCCCTCAACCACCCATGACTGTAGCGATGATACCCGAGGCTGAGGGCTTGGACTGGGCAAGTCATCGTAGCCGGTGAGGTTCATTGGAGGAACGAGATGAGGTTGAGTATGGCATACTTTCATTTCTCGTTCGACACCTGCAAGGGACAACAGTCAGTCCCCATGTCTGAGAAGGAGGAGTTGTAGTAGAAGAGAAAGTATGGGGAAAGCTATACCTTTTTGCTTCATAGCCTGTTGATGATGAAAGCTCTCATCGTCGCCCCTCCCGCTCAGGCAGAACAAACAGGAAGATATCCAGCCAGTGAATATGGAGCCTGCCTGCTCAATTGCCTGCATCATGGCTGCCAGCGCATCAGCAGTGATGCTCCATCGCCCAGTGGCCAGAGAGGGAGGACTGGGTGGGGACCGGAAGAAAAGGCAGGCAGCAAAGGCGCGAGCAGGCGATGCACGAGGCAGGTCAATGAAACACTAATACGAGACATCTGCCCAGCGGGGATGCAGGAGAATTAAATCGGAGGGTCCGGGAGGAGGGGGGCGCCCATGAGGGCGCTGATATGAGAGAGAGTGTGTGTGTGTGAGAAAGAGAGGCTGGGAAGGTTAAAGTAAAACAAAGAAAGCGAGTAAATAAGCAGGAAGATGAAGGAGGGAAGCGGGACAAGAGTAAGTACTAGGGTTCTGGTGACCAACCATCTCTCCCAACTGTCCCATTTCCCTCCCCGCGATAAGTGTCAAAGTAGTAAACAACATAAAAAGCGGCGACCGCTTGATGGCTATTGTCCCCCTGATTCATCAATCATGGGAGATTTGGAAGTAGCAGAGCAGCTAAGGAGATGGTGCCATGCAGTCCAAGGCACCCGCTAAACTAGCTGGCAACCAATAACCGCCACGATCTGCCCCTCCTCGACAGCGTGTCGGCGTGTCGATCAGCCATCAATCCATCAACTGATAGCCATGTCACCCTCTCGGCGCCTAATGGTTGCCCTCCATTTGCTCGGATCGCTGAGGATGTGTGATCCGGCCAGCAGCAGGTGGCATTCACACTTCATACTTCACACTCACACCAGATCAACTCATTAGACGGAAACAAATTTAGATACTCGGTGCCTGACTGTAGTGTCCCCCCCCCAAAGATTCAACCTTCCGCAGCTTTCCCCTGGTTTCATCCTTCATCTCCTGTCTTCTCGTATCGATAAAACATTTCATGGTTTCATTCATCTTACATATCCTATGCTTCAAGAAAATATTTGCAGATGCGCCCCCCATATGTAAGAAAGCCACTGAAATTGGCGGGGATGGTTCTGTGCATGAAGCAAGCTCTGCTCTCCTAGCGATCCCACACATTCTCCTCTTCCAGCCCTCCATATGCCCAATTTGGCCGCGTCGTCGGTTCATCATCATCCCCTGCTCGATCGGTTGGGCTTGCAGCTCTGGTATTCTCCATCGTGCCATCTGCGCTATTTTCAAGATAGCTCGGCCGTTCATCAACTGGCTCCCCAGAGGGTCTCCTAAGTGAGAGGTCAGTGCTGTTCCATTCCACCGCAGAAAGATGAGATATATGAGATGGTGCAACATACTGGAAGTGCCTCTGGTCGGGCTCCAGCCAGGTCGATCCGAACGCCTTCTGTGTATGCACTCTTTCCGCTTCCTCTGCTTTGTGGTCCTCCACTACCAAGTCCACCAGCTGACTGCGCTGGGAGCTGTGGGATATGGACGAGCTAGTCTCCTGACGAACTGTCTGGCGACCGTTGGGGGGTTCCCTGCGAGAACTGCGGGAACTGCCTTCACTTCGTGGGGTGCCTCCGCCATTGATGCGGGACTTACGGTGCTTTCGCGTCCGTTTCACCGCTCCAGGATTTTGTAGATTTGGGGAGCTTCGGTGGTGTATTTGCCGCTGATCCTCCGGCACTTCGTTGGCTGTGATCACGGGATACTGATTGCAATTAGCTCATCGGTGTCCTGGGATAGAGCGCCATACAGCTTGACTTACATTCCAGTCGCCGAATTCAAGAGTGCGTGCATTGGCAAAGAGTCTCTCATCCTCATCGTCAAGACCCATCTCTTCAATGTCACTGTTTGATCGAAATCGACTGAGCATGCTGCTTCGTCGATCGCGACTGCTTCCTTCAGACCCTGACAGTAACGGCGTTCGACTGTTAACCTCGCCTGGCTTGGGGATCCAGTATTTCGCTTTACCCCCACGCTCATACCGCATGCCGTGCATCACTCGCCTGACACGGGAGTTGGACTCGGCATGAGGGATGATGTGATCACCGGAATCAAAGAGTCTGTACTCGTAGTTTTCTCCTCGAAGGGTCATCTTTGTGTCTTCAATAAGGTCGCGGATACCAAAGGAATCGCGAAGGGCAAACTTCACAGGCAGGCGGGCAGCTGAAATGGTGGAGTCGGCGTAGTCATGCCAGGAGAAAGCGTACCAGTGGGTAATGGCGAAAAATGGCATCTCAAAGCAGATCAAACTGTCCTGAATCGCAGCGGCGAGATTGTCGGGTGTATATCCCGCCACGCCGTTGGATAGAGCGCCCAGCCACTGCAAGATGGACAAGAAAAAGCCTTGCCAGTAAGAAGCAAAAATGATAAGCTTGACACACAGGAACTTAGGAACCGGACGGAATGGTGCCAGGTCGTTGTGCAAACAGACCCAAAACATGGCTAACGAATAGAGACTTATGGTCACGCTGACATTGTACACGATACCCGTCCAGAGATACCCCGATGTCAAGCCCAGATAGCCTTCCTGATAAGTGTCCGTCGCTTTCATGACAATAGAGATGATAGCCAGAATTGGCTTAAGCCATGTATACTGAAGAATCCCACGCTTGACAGCCAAGAAGGTCTGAGGGTCGGAGATATCCACTTTGGGCAGGATATGGTTCAATGGCCAAGCATGTTGAATTGGAGGACGTCCATGAGTCATGATAATCAATGCTCTCTCGCCTCCAAGAAAGTTGATGAGTAGTTGGAAGAAGGTATAGATCGTGAACGCCTGCAGTGCACCGTAAGCATATGGCCAGCCAGTTGTCGGCGCGCATAGCTTACCTCGTAGACATCGCGAACGGGGTCCAGCCACATCGCCGCTTTCAATGATATAATGCTAGCCCAGGAGGAAACCGCATAGATAGGGACCCTATTGCAATCAGCATTGCGCCAACATGGTTGTCAATACAAGTGGAGACGGACATCAACAGTATGCGGACAACATATCGCTGGAGGAGTGGTTTTCGATAGTTTTTCCTATGCCACAGTCAGAACAGAACTAGGATGAGATGGAAGGTTTGGATGGTCGTACGTCTGAAGCCATATGGACCTAAGATCGAGATGATCGCTTGTTATCAGCACATGTACCCTTCGGGGGGCCACCAGGGGCAGCGGGGAAGGAGAGCTTGCTCACAGGAGAGACAGAAGTGAAGCTACCAGCGCAGAAACACCAGCGACTATCACCACCGCTCGTGCCAGGCTCGAGCCTGTACCACCGAAGGATGAAATGCTACTCATGATCAACAAGTTATCGGTAATCGCGGTAGTTGACCGCGTGCGCTTTCAAGGCAGTGTCCGCGGGCAGAGCATTCCGTTTCAGACCACCAAAATGTCACCAAGCGCCGGACATGATCATCGGACGGGTATAATCGTGGAGCTGAAAACTTCCCAAGACCTTCCACAGCGAAGAGCTCCCTCGCATGACGGGTGGGAGAGAAAGCAAGGTCGTGCGGTGAATATTGCGTGGACATCGGGGGGGTGGGATCCTTATCCATCAGGCCCATTCCTCCGCTCTAGCTTGAGACACCGCCTACTGACACTCTGTGACTGGTTCCGTGACGGCAGCCTAGTCTGAGCTAAGCTGGTCTAGTGCGCGTCCGCCGCCCGTCCCTCCGTCGGAGCTTCCCCGTCCTCTCCACCATCTTTTTGTGACCCAAACCCGCCATTCCAGCCTCAGTTTCAAGGAACCTGGGGCCTCCTTTTCCTTGTTCTATTCTGCTTGAAATGCTGTCGCGAATTTTCCATATTGTTTGAACTATGCTTTCCCTCCAATTCCGGCTCTCCTTGACGGCGCATTGATTGTTTCGCCAAGTCACCATGTTCCCGAAGTACACGGGTTCTGGTAGGAGGATATTGCGACATGGCCAGCACAAGCTTGACAGCTTTATCGCTGACCCCGGATCCAAGCTTCAACTGGTTAGTTTTGTTGTCGCATTCTTTTTACAATGGCTAACATGCATTCAGGTTCTTCCTCCTTGAGCTCATTGTCTCCTGCATCCTGTGGGTTCTATTCATACTCTCCCCTTTCTCTACAAGGTGACCCGCTAACGATCATACTACCCAGTGTATTGTTCTTTTTACTCTACTTCAATCGCCTCTTTGCCACCCTCCTGTCATACGGAATCCGCGCTTATACTTGGCATTACTATCGTGCCTATGTCGACATCCGTGCGCTTCAGATCTCCCTGTTGGGAGGGAGGGTTTTCTTCAAAGGCATCCGATACCATGGGGTGAACGAGACTATTTTTGTGCATGGAGGTTTCATAACGTGGCATTATTGGAGACACTCGGTGAGGCAGACGGACCTTGCGAATGGTAGACCCGACAATCAACGATCCCAGGATGAAACCCAACACAATGGAACCACCAGTGCCAGCGCGAGCAGCAGTAGCGATCGAGGCGAACAAGGAGGGCTAAAAAGTACGAACTCGCTTCCTTGTCGCATTACCGCCAAACTTTACGGTCTGGAGTGGTTTGTATATAATCGAACTCCAGCCTACGAGGGAATCCTTGCTGGCTTCAGCCCCCCGCCGCCCGCGCCATCGTTCACCAGACCGCAGTATCCTGGAAGCAATACCTTGGATTCCCGACTGAAAGATGATACGATGGATGGTTCTGCGGGGCATACTCCTGACCAGGCGTCCGATCTCCACGGCAGTCGTCGCAATAGCGAGATGAAGGAGACGGTCGCGTCTGCGGCTTCGGAAGGCAATGGGCAAGAGGTAGGGGAGAGCCTATCTAGGTTGCTCCGGCTCCTGCCCATTAGAATCGAGTGTGACAAAGGTGCTATTGTCATGGGCAACGAAAACACAAGATCTGTACTAACTGCCATCTTCGATGGCGCCACGGGTTTGATCGAAGCCTGCGATTCTGGTCCCCTCGACCTTTACCGGCAAGTGTTCTCTTTCGACTTCACCCACCCGGTCATACAGATGCGGCCCAACCCAGACTTCAAGCAGAATCAGATCGCTGCTGCGAAAAGCCTCGGTTCAACCCGGTCGGAGCAAATGGAAACGAAACGCAAACGCGACACGATCTTTAACTACCAACTGCAAAAGCGCCGGGTCTGGCACAGTATCCGTGATCTTATTCCGTACTTTCAGACTTCTGTTGAATCATTCCACATACATGAGAAGAATCCAGAGGCGGCTCCTCGAAGCTCGGTCGACATCCCCGATGACACACGCTGGGTTGGTCTTTCTCGATATTTGGATGAAAGCTCCCAGGATGACCACGAAGAGTGGAACCCTGTCGAATATGCCAGGTTTTCCACACTGATTGATAGTCCCAGCATGACTGTGGCCTACTACTGGGATATCCCTGGTTGTGTCAAACCGTCCCCCGGTGTACCGGCACCGACACCGGCACCTTCAACTTCGGCATCGGATATCAATGGCGCACCACCTCCGGAATGGGGAATCGATGTGAAGATCGGCGGCGGCACTATCAACTATGGTCCTTGGGCTGATAGAGAGCGAGTAGGCTTGCAAAATATATTTTTCCCTAATGCCTACAAAAGCTCGCAGCCGGTTGACCCGCTGACCCCCGGTGAGCTGAGAAAGAACTCTGTATTTCGCCTACGGATCGAAATCAACGAAGAGTTGACATTGCGTATCCCAACCCGGGAGCCATCAAAGGATTGGCAGTGGAAAGGCCGTGCTGACGCAATACGAGGTGTTTCCAAACTCCGAAAGCAATCAAGTCGAAGGCAGTCGCGCGCAGGAGACGGGGATAAAGGCCATATTGGCCCTGACATACGCCCTTTCGGATGGCTTTCACTCCGTGTCGCGGGCGATTCCACCATAAACTATGCCATGGATATGGTAGCATCGGCCTCAGGGTTCCATAGCCAGCTTGACCTCGATCTTCGAGAAACCAAGATGTTGTCCAGTGTCAACCATGCGCTGTTGTGGCAATGTCCTAGACAACTTGTTAGCTGCGATCTCTCCGTACCACTGTCTTGGAACAGCCTTCGGACCTGGGTGTTCGACGTTAAAAGCACAGATATGGAACTATTTCTACTGCGTGATCATATTTTTCTTGTGACGGATCTCGTCTCTGACTGGGCGTCGGGCCCCCCACAGGACTATCACACGTTTGTACCGTTCATATACAAGCTCAAACTGTCTTTTGACAATTTCCGCTTGTTTCTGAACGTCAATGACATGAACATTGTCAGCAACCCTTCGGACCTGAATGACAATCGCTCGTTGGCTATCAAAGGCACGACACTCACTTCCGACATCAGCATCCCTTTAAGCAAATATCAGCCTGAGCAGAACACCGTTGGGTTCAGCGTCAATTTGGAGGATGGAGGCATAGACTATCTGACTCCAGTATGGGATACGCTACATTCTTTTTTGCAAGATAAATCGACTGCCACGTTGAAAAGCCTCTTCATTGAAGGTTCATATAACTACTATCTGTCAACATCCCCGGAGCTGACAGATACGTTGTTGTTAAACATTGACGGGTTTTCTCCCAGGCTCTATCTTTTTGGATTCTTGATACGGTCATTCATGACAATCAGAGAGAACTATTTTGGAGAAGAAATGCACTTCAAAACTCTAGAGGAGTATCAGGAGCACGCATACCAGCAGGAAGAGTCTGGATCGCATGGCGGAGTCAACCCAAACAAGAAGTCAAACGACCTCGATGTGATCGTGCACGTAACTGTTAACAATCCTTGCGCACTCTTCCCAGGAAATATTTATGGCTACTCCGACTGTCTAAGGCTTACCGCGCCTTTGCTGGAGGCCGACCTTCGATTCACGAACTACTACATGGACTTGCAGTTCTCCCTAGCCCCTCTCAAGGTGGGCTTGGAATCCAGCGAGGTAGAGGAGAAAGTCCTTCCCGCGGAGACCCAACTTTTCATCGATGGTGTTTCTATATACGGCCACCGTCTATTCGGACTGCCCCCTGCTGAACCTACCTATGTCTGCAATTGGGACTTTGGAGTTGGTCGCATTATTGGAGAGTGCTCGCCCGAATTCTTGAGCTGTCTTGTAGCAGCATTGCAAAGCTTCGACTTGACGTTTGACAATGAGGAAAATGCGCTGCCACCATTATCTCCGATCCAGCTTCATGATGTCACCTTCTTACGGGCCAAGATGGATTCTATCCATCTTTCTGTTCTCCTAGACAAAGCCGCGCTGATGGTCATGTCAGGGCCAATAACGACAGAGTTCAATGATCTGGCGAATGCAAAGTTTTCCAAGCGGATGAAGCTCCTCATACCGGACCTTTCCATTGCTGCAATCGACTACCAGTTCTTGGGTCGATTTGGAAGTTTGCTGCATACGGAAATCACGCCTCTCGCGCTTATACAGTCTAATCTGAAGATTATGATGGTTCAAAGAAGAAGTGATATTAATGAAAGCCGGAAACTACAACAGGAGCATATCAAGGTGCATGATAAAAGGACACAGCGGACGCCGTGGCTACTCATGGATTGGGAGGACATGGATCCCGACTCGCTGCAGCACAATGGAGATGACTCTGTACCACCGACTATTCCTATACCTACAATGCCTGAGCCTATTTCGAAACACTCCGGCTTAGGGTCCTTGCAACCGCCGAGGCGACGCTTTTCTGCAGCCAGAAGCAATTTGAGTTCGAGAAGCTTTCTGGTTCTGCAAGATACGTTGAGCGTGAAGAGCGTACCTAAACGAGAAACACGTACAGCCACCCGACCAACAAATATGCCATCTAGAATGGGGAGGAATCAAAATCTGCATCGGGCAGCGACAGTCGGTTCAACTCCTACAGCATCTAAGTACCCGGATACGTTCAAGGATGGTCCGGTAAGCATATCTGGTGTGTCAAATGCGTGGGTCATGCCGGACTTCTCTCTCCATAAGACCGTCCTTGATGCATCACAACTCCCTTCGGAAAAGGACTTGCGCAAAGATGGTACTTCACCGAGGGGTAACCCTCCCGTTGTGGATATCGACCCGTTTTTCTCTTTCTCCGACAGTGATGTTACGACTTACACTAACCTTGCCATTGAACTGCCCGTTGGGATCAGGGGCTCCTGCTCCCCTGAGTTCCTTCACATTCTGTCTGCCTTCATTGAGCGATTTCAGCCAAAATCTCCTGTTGCAATTATTGATGCTCTTCAAAAAGAGGTCATATCAGACATTGTAGGATATGAAAAGTCAATGAGGCAGCCAAAGACGTGCACCAGTGTTGCCATCAAAGCTCCGTCAATACTCGTCAATCTGGTCAACTCTGAA